CACTGTGGATCACTTTCTGCATTCGTGGACGAGTGACGTGTAAGATTGATCTTAAGGTACATATTACATGTAAAGGACCCGCCCTCTTTCAAAAACTACGTACTTCTTGTCAAGTACAATCATTTGTCTAAAATGAGTGAGAAAGGCAGATCGTTTAACCTACATATGAGCAAGTGCGTGACCCAAAGCAATATTTTTCTAGACAGTTTTAATGGTTTTCTTTAATGTAAACTTCCAGTGAAAATGAGGTCGTGTTTAAATATTTCAAAGACGCTACGTGGCATACTGTAAAATCAGCCTTTTTAACCTTACTTATGCATTTTTGAGCGAATTGTACTCCCCTTCTTTTCTTTATGCTTATGTATCAGAATTTCTGCTCAGTTTGGCAAATTAATAAATTTGGTAAGTAGGCCAACAGGTTTAACTTCAGATTCCATTGACACCAATACTGATCTTATATCGTTCCATAACCACCAAACAGCCAATTCCAAACTGACTGGTCTTTGCATGTGTTTATGATCGGTGCCACCGGTGGGGCAGACGACGCTCACCTTATCGCTAAATCGTACAATCGACTCTGCTTTACTCTTTGATTGTCACTATTTTTCTAATCGAATAAATTTTGTACCTGAATCTGTGGAATCAAAACTAAATCGCGTGAATCGTTTATCATACTTCCGATAACGGTATAGGGTGGTCAGGCTCGCTGACTGGTTGACACATGTCATCGGTTCCCAATTACGCAGATCGATGTTCATGCTGTTGATCACTGGATTGTCTTGTCCAGACTCGATTATTTACAGACCGTCGCCATATAGCTGGAATATTGCTGAGTGTGGCGTAAAACTAAACTCACTCACTCATACTTCCGACCACTGGTTTGTTAAGACTCATGTTACACAGGCTTCTTTTTAGCAAAACCCAAACCCCACACTCACCTTCAAGATGGCGGACGGTCCATCCATGTTTTTTGATGAGTTTCATCTCAAACGGTCTCAGCTGGTATAGCCGACATTCGTTATTTTTGTAACTGTAGTATATGCTGACACATTTCATAGTGCAACAAACAAGAGTGCACTCAGCTAACGTAATCTTATCCTTTGTAAATATACCATCAGTATCTGGAAGCGTATCACCATATTTGGATGATGTTGCAAAAAATACATCGTTTGCAATAATCATCTGAGCACAGTAAATTATGAAAAGAAACAAGCTTGCCATTTTTTGAATACTGTTTCCGTGTCCAGTGTTTGGCTCCTTGTTGGCAATGAATAGCCTGTGCTGCTTAAGCTGTGACCGGATCTTTAAATATTAAACATAAACGTTCTATATGGATACACGAAGCACTGGTGCCATTCGCCTTTACCGGATCTTTAAATATTTAACATAAACTTTCTATATGGATACACGAAGCACTGGTGCCATTTGCATGTCAATAGATAGTCGTGATTTAGTACACCCAGCACGCAATTGAAATACGGGTATGTACACAAAGTCGTCTGAAATATAGCTTATCTGATTTGAAATAAATCGAAATATGCATTATCAGGTCTTCTGAATATGGAAGCTGACATCCATAAATCCTCTCCCATATGTGTTCCAATTCTAAATGGCATTCGAAGACTTGATACGGAAAATCAGCTGAGAAGTTTACCTTAAGCTTCAGTATAGATATAATCTCAAACAGTTTGACAGTAGTTAAAGAGACCGTTCTCTTCCACTGAATTAGATAGGTCAATCGGAAATACAAAGGCCAGTATATCCGCCACACATCAACAAGAAATAAAAAGACCAGTATATCCGCCACACATCAACAAGAAATGAAAAGACCAGTATATACGCCACAGATCAACAAGAAATAAAAAGACCAGTATATCCGCCACACATCAACAAGAAATGAAAAGACCAGTATATACGCCACAGATCAACAAGAAATAAAAAGACCAGTATATCCGCCACACATCAACAAGAAATTAAAAGACCAGTATATACGCCACAGATCAACAAGAAATAAAAAGACCAGTATATCCGCCACACATCAACAAGAAATGAAAAGACCAGTATATACGCCACAGATCAACAAGAAATAAAAAGACCAGTATATCCGCCACACATCATATATATACGCCACACATCAACAAGAAATAAAAAGACCAGTATATCCGCCACACATCAACAAGAAATGAAAAGACCAGTATATACGCCACAGATCAACAAGAAATAAAAAGACCAGTATATCCGCCACACATCAACAAGAAATGAAAAGACCAGTATATACGCCACAGATCAACAAGAAATAAAAAGACCAGTATATCCGCCACACATCAACAAAATGAGACCAGTATATCCGCCACAGATCAACAAGAAATTAAAAAGACCAGTATATACGCCACAGATCAACAAGAAATACCAGTATATCCGCCACAGACCAAAAGACCAGTATATACGCCACAGATCAACAAGAAATAAAAAGACCAGTATATCCGCCACACATCAACAAGAAATAAAAAGACCAGTATATCCGCCACACATCAACAAGAAATGAAAAGACCAGTATATACGCCACAGATCAACAAGAAATAAAAAGACCAGTATATCCGCCACACATCAACAAGAAATGAAAAGACCAGTATATCCGCCACAGATCAACAAGAAATAAAAACGACAAGTAGTGCTGCGTCAGTTCTTTCATATTTAAATCTGTGTATGGTGATAGTGGCTTCTGTGTATGGTGATAGTGGCTGATAGCATCCCCGATCTAAACCTACCATATGTCTCCCCGTTTCCATATGTGAACAATTGACATTTTCGTCAACACATGATGTCATTACCTATTGATAGTACCACGTTATAGACACCGGCATTTTACGTAAAGCTTTCAAAAAGTTTTATGGTTGACATTTGGAGTATATTTCCAGATCTGATGCAACATTGACAAAACTTATGTCTGGTGCAATTCCCTATTTTGACTTGCGCCATAACACCATGTTTACAGGTGAACATCTGACTAGCCTTTGCCTATGTATATGTACGGGTTCCACTCTTTGGGCAGGATACGCTCACCTTTTCACGAACGCCTGGTATCATCACTATTTGATAGTGATTCATAAACACATGTGCTGTATCCCATGACGGCAATCACTAGACTGTCTGGTCCAGACTCAATTATCAAAATACGGCTGCCATCCAGATGTCATAATTTTGCGTGTGGAGTTAAACATACAAACAAAAAACATGCTCAGAATAGATTGTACAATCGACTCTGCTTTGAGCAGAGATTTCTCATGGATGTGCAAAGGGTTTTGTCGTTTTTATGCACTGCTTGAACTGTTTGTTTAAAAGGAGCAGGAATTTTACAGAAATACGTTTACATGTCACGTTAAGTGATTCTTAGGTTACAATGGTGGTGTTACTAATGGCAGGCGAAACTATTCATGAGTAACTCGTCAAAGACTGAATGTCAATAGAAAGATTATAAGTATCACATCTAAGCTGATAAACGCAGTCTCTTTTGTAGATTCATGTATTTGTTCCGTATCATGCTGGCGTCAGTATTCACACACGCACAGAACCTGTTCATCTACGCAGGACATGTACACGCACTTGTCATGCTACTGAAGGGGCGATAAAGCTTCCGTTCGTCACGCTGAAGACCCGGGTTCGATTCCCCGCATGGGTACAATGTGTAAAGCCCAATTCTGGAGTCTCCCTCCGTGATATTACTGGAATATTGCTAAAAGCGGGGTAAAACCTTAGTCAGTCAGTCTGTTTATGACTTTGGTTTCATAACTGACAAAATTTCTGTTTGACGTGAAGCCTTGAAATAATCGTTAGGCGATACAATTACAGCTAAAGCCTGACTCTTGATGCCGGGAGTATCCGTGAATAGAAAAGAACTGAATTCTCTCAAGGCTCGGCAAATGAGGCACAAATTTATATATTGAAAACACAGTGTGACACACAATTACTTCTTCGTGTTTTCACCAAGCATCAGTTAATTTTACGTGTTTTCACAGACGTTCTGAGCATCAGGTACATCTATACTTGTTTTAAAACCCGTGAAGATCCGGGTAAGACGTGGTCTTCAGCAACTCATGCTTGCTGTAAGAGGCGATTTACGCTGAAGGGATCGTTGTCGGCACGGGTACTACAAATGTGTACCCCAGATATGAGGTAGGTTTCTGTATACAGAAACATACCATAACCTAAAATGTCCTAAATCAGAATCCAGAAACGCACCATAGGACGAATCCATCCCGCATTGTGCCGTTTTCTTGATCGGAACTGTCATTTTGTTGTATTACATGCATTTGATTGCGTTATGTAAGAAACGAACATACACAGTAACAAATATTTCACGATGCACAATACCACTCCCAGTCAGCTGAACGGGAACAACAGTGGACTCGTTCCCCGTTTAGGGTACCGGGTACGTTTCTGTATTCTGATTTTAGCTAGGGTACTTTGGGTACATATCTGCAGTGTCTGTGCCGACAACGACCCCTTCAGCGCGATCAACAGGATCGGGTGGTCCGGCTCGCTGACTTGGTTGACACATACCATCGTAACCCCATTGTGAAGATCGATGTTCATGCTGTTGATCACTGGATTGTCTGGTACAGACTCGACTATTCACATATTTACTATAGCCGATCTATGTCTGTGTGCAGCGTTAAACAACAAACAAAGTACATGTTTTGACAGACGCCAAACATTAATTATTGTATTTTTTCAAGTTAGAACGTTTGACGCTTCTGCGATTATTGTGTGTGAGTAATATTCCATCAATATCACAGAAGGGGACACCAGAAATGGGCATCACCCACTCTACCCATATGGGGAATCGAACCAGGGTCTTCGGCGTGAAGAGCGAACGCATTAACGATTACAGAGTGGAAGCAATTGATAATCGGACTGTTTGAATATCAGCACAGACGAACTTGCTGATTGTAGTATCTGTGAATACAGGTAACTTAAATTCATAATCAAAAACACATAAGAACAAGATAAAAATGGTTTATTTTGGAATGTTACAGATCATGCTGAATAATCGCTTGACAAGCACAAAGTATATGCGTAAAGAGCAGCTCCTAAGAAAACAATGAAACAAACAATTCAACGACCATGTCCCTAAGCTTTGAGGATAACTTCAATTCCATATTAATGGCGATGACGTTCATCGAATAAAGAGAGTGATGATTAAGAACTCCGTTTAAGGATATTGTCCTGTGAATTATAATGCTATGTTGTCATTATATAAGATCTTAAGCAAACGTTTCCCCATTGTTTGGGTAATTGTTCCGAAACTGTGCCTCCTTCCCCTACAAAGTCATATGGTGTGTACATTAGACAAGATAAAGTCGGGTTTATGGGTATGTGCCCTTAACTCAAAATAATATATTCCTCTCACTGATTTAGTTAATCAATGAAATCAAATACGCCTTTAACTACCAAACATTCTCTTCAATAAGGTAAGAAATAATATGCGATCACTGGACTCATTTGCATCTTTGTCGCGTATTTCAATGATACAAGCAACAACTGAAATGAGAATAATGCAATGAAACTTTTTCCGTAAGACCTGTCGATAATCACACTTATTTTTTCATTTGGTATAGTGAATAGGTTATTCTAAAGAGCCACGAAACATCATCGATTTAAAAAGAATTCCAACTTCCTTTGTTGTTTTGTATTTTGCGTGATGTATTGACTCAGAAGATTTGTAAAACATGACTGTTTCAGTCCCCAGAAATAGATTAAAGATAATGGACTTTACGACATTCAATAAATAAAAGCCACAAAATGTTCGTTACGCTACATCAAAAGCATGTGTTTTAAAAGAAGTGAAGAAATGTCTGCGTGTGAAAAAATCTGCGAGGTCCATTATTTGCCCAGGGACAAAATGAATCAAAGAGGATAGAACATACAGAGTTACTGTAAAAATTCAAAACCATCATGACATCGTAAATGGTGCCATTCAAAATGGTTATATCAGTGGCGCCAAAGTAGCACGTTAGGTTCAGCACAAGGCATGGTATATAAATCCACGATTTAGCGAAAGTCGGACAAGACTAAGTCGATGGAGTGTTTATCACGAGACACGAGTGGACAGAAGAGTTGGCGTGTGGTATCCTGCACACCGTCTTCACGACGCCGTTGACACAGGCTCGAACACAGCGGCCGAGAGGTATATGGCGACATCGGTTGTCAAGCGAACCACAGTGAGCCTGGAAGCGAAAAACAATACATGTTATTATATACTCTTCAAAAAAGGTAGGGGAATCTGAACTTTCAGTTTGGATAAGAAGTATAAGCGTTAAGAAACGTTTCAAAGACAGACATCTTGTGAACACGACTCCATTTCTCTTTATCACCACCCCTAAACACAACGCATAGGATGCACGTGCACAACGCAGTACTCCCCATACACGTGCATGGAGTGTCATTCTTGATTTTGACGGTTTTCAAGAAGGTCGATACATCACTGTAGACCATTAATTTTGACAACCATCTAGTATCTCACAGTTGTTAGTGTTTGTTTCTAGCCGGTTTTTTGCTTGTTTGAAAATGAAAACCGTACACATGCAAATTTCACGTCATACACCAGTCATCTTTCAAGAGCGTTTACTGAACAAACTACTATGGTCATAAGTACGTGCAAGTGGTGATGCACTCTCAGAACATTCATTATTATCATATCAACATTGATGGACTCCGATATATCTCCCATTTTTTTCAGTCGTAAAGTAAAAATGAAGTTCCCCTGAGTATACGTCGAAAACCTTTGTAATTATTTACACTTGTATACCAGTTGCATGTAAAACACGAGAGTACGATCACGAATCACTCTAACCTTGATTACATAATGCCATTTAGAAAGTGGTCAAATGTAACATATGTTATATTTGGGATTACACTTTCTTAGTAAAGTACAATTTCTAGTACTTTTTGGGTTGAGTCCCATCCAGGATTCGAACCCACACCCTCAGAGTCAGGCACCTAATCAAACGCGTGGCAGTAGCGGTAGTTAGACGGCTGACTTTGTGTGTTGGCGATTAGGTGTCTGACTCTGAAGGTGTGGGTTCGAATCCCGGATTGGACTCAACCCAAAAAGTACTAGAATCTGTGCTTTACTAAGAAAGTGTAATCCCAAATATAACATGTGTTACACTCTAACCTTGATGATACAAAGTGACGAGAGGTTTTACAGGCTCCCGTAATGTGACTGGATAATTTGCTGACAAACACAAATTCTGACCTGCCAATAATAATTTTATCATTGTGTCGAAAGTTTTATTAAAACTACTCAGAACTGTTGTAATATGATCTATTAACTTGACCTTTGTGTGATGTAAACTAATATCCGATTTGTGCGTTAGTGTGTGTAACGGAATAACCTGTGATAAAGTCTAAATCAAATATACTATACTTTAATAGGATGTTTAGTTGTTAAACACGTAAAAGATCCACGCCTTTGCGTAGTCAGTCTCGAATATCTACTCAAATAGATTTTACGTACTCTCTGAAGTACTTAAGTAATTGAGAAGTGAAGGCCATGTAAATTGGAGGTTGATGGTATATTGTTTGACACATGAAGTCTGTGGTATTGATTGCTTCACGACTTGGTACATTACCTGCGGTCATTTTGAATGTCAGTGAACAGATCCAGACACTGATAAATATTATTTCTCAGGTGATTTCTTGCGGATAGATGAGGTGAAGGTACCTCCATTTCTTTTTTTGTTGAAATACAAGTAACAAAACCCTTTCCTAACAATGTGAAACCCTGCTATAATATAAACTCTTTGCACGACATCATAAGCACGTGTTTGTTTCTGACTCTCTATTAAATAGTGATGAAACCGAGTGTTTGCTAAGAGGTGAGCGTATGCTACTCAAACGGTAGCACCTGTCACAAATATCTGCTAAGGCAAGTCAGTTGTTCTCCTTCAAAAACAGACGAATTTAACTAATTGGATCAACCATCGTTTTCGTCACCGGTACTCCTTTCACTTGTCTTCCCGGAGAGAGTTTGAAAGATTTACCCAAGCCTTGAATGCTGCAACCTTGTTCAAACAACTTATAAATGCGAGTCGTATGAAAATCTTCATAACCTTCAGATTAACAGATTAATCGATTTCACTGGTTTCTAGCTTAAATCAGATGAAATGAATTGGCTATTTGGCAGTTGGCTGAAGCGTGAAGTTACGTCTCTGTCCTTGAATGAACGGCTGCACACGAGGCCCAATCCTCTCATCCCTGTATCGCAGACCTGTCAGATTGCCATTGACAATGACAAGTTGTGTCCGACCATGAGATATGATGCCTCCCATACCATAACGCCTTCGCAACCAAACTGTGGACGTTGAACTAAGCACGCGTCAGCATACCGTTCACTTCGCCGTCTATACACCCTTGCCCTGCCATCTGAGCTGTCCAGGTGAAATCTCGACTCGTCAGTGAACAAAACACCATCATCCCAATCTCCTGTACGTAAGACGTGCCTGTCTGACGTTGGAGCAAACTGTACGTATTACAGACCGTCGGGACCAGATGTGCTCCTTCAGTCGGTTCCGTACAGTCCTGGAACTGACTGGACGTAAGTCAGGAATGATCCGAGCCGTCAAACTGGCAGTCTGGAATCGATTCCTTGGATGGGTCAGCGGTATGTGGTTGTCTTGCTGAAGTCACCTCACACGTGGAGGCAAATCTCTTGTGTTCCCATTATGTTGAAAACGTCTCCATAGATATGCGATCATGTTTCGATGGACAGCAAAATGTCTGGCCACTTCACTTTGGGCCATTCCAGTCTCCAGCATACCCACGGCGCGGAGACGCTGATTTTCTGTCAGCCATGGCATTATGTACGCGCAGTTTAATTAGGTTGAAATTAACCTGTTTTCCACAACATTCGGAGGCTAGATAATATTGGACCGTTCTTCAAATTTCAATATCAGGTGTGTGAACTTTAGGTGTAAAAAAAAAACAAGCAAAAAGTGAGTAAGTTCATTCTGCACAAAGAGCACGCGCCAGGCGCGATACGGGACATCAAATTTCATGCAAAGTGCTTTGCTATGTTTATTTAGGGCTATTTCTATAACTTTTCAAATAACTTTTATTTTATGAAATTTTAGGTTATGCACTGTTACTTTTTCCCGTTAGTATGCAATAATTAACTTGCTCGTCATAATTACATGTATGTAGGGTATTGTCTGGGAAATTCATTTCATGGCACATTTCGTTCACACCGATATGTGTATTCATTCAGAAACACTTAATTAGCTTTTCCGAAGACGATTTATCATAAATGGATCTTACAAAATGATGATAATTTTTCAGTCACAATATAGAATAAGCCTCTTAACAAACTTGATTGAGACCTAAAATACCATCATGTGCTCCTACTGTGCGAGCTATACATAACCCGCCCTTGACTCACACCCACGTCTTCATTAATGGTGGAAACTTGAGAACCGCCAAAGCATATTAACCTTTACATGAGTGAGGCGGCCCACTGACAATAAATATAAATGAGACTCACAATTCTAGGCGTGATGGGATTCTCAGTAGGTGTCATAATGTGGCTGTAGAAATATAGATCAAATGACTAGAAGGGAAGATATGTCTTACAGTTAATTGTTAAAAGGATAAAATATGCCAACGCACTTATCCCTTCTAAATATATTTTCGGCACGAGTATCTCTTTTGTCAAAACAAGTGTTTATGAACTACTCCAAACAAAAATATGTAGGTATGGAATGTGTAAATTTTGTTCTAAAACTCATTAACAACTGTGTTGTGAGTATTCGCGTTCGTCCAACACAGCGAGCATAGTTTAAGCTGGCATCATTCATTTCAGGAAAATACATAATCTCCTTATTCTTTTTTTTTCTGTGCGAGTCAAAACGTTTCTTGTAAGATTCTTGAAAGAAATACTATCCTTTTAGAGAGCACAGGCATGAGAGCATATCTTCACAGATGTAAACACGTACAAATCCAAGCACGTACATTGTTCACATACACACACGCGCGCGGACGGACGCACGCACGTACACCCACAATGCCGTGCACCCGTTGATATGTGCAAGGACGAGGAATATGGACTGAGGGAATATGAAACCAAAACCTCAATGACAGGTAAATAGGATTAAGGAAATATCATACCCAAACCCCAATGACAGGTAAAGATGATTGGGGCAATAAGATGCCTTGCCCCCGATGGCAGGTAAATGCGATTGAGGGAATGAAATGCCGAACCCCCGATGGTAGGGAAATAGGATTGAGGGAATATGTTGCCTTTGCCCTCAACGGTAGATAAATAGGATTGAGGGAATATGGTGCCAAAACCCCAATGACAGGTAAAGATGATTGAGGGAATATAATGCAGAGCCCCCAATGGCAGGTTAATAGGATTGAGGGAATGAAATGCCGAGCCTCCGATGGTAGGTAAATAGGGTTGAGGGAATATGATACCAAAACCCCAATCACAGGTAAATAGGATTAAGAGAATGTGATGCCTTGCCCCCCAATGGCAGGTAAATAGGATTAAGGGTATATGATGCCAAAACCCCAATGTCAAATAAATAGGATAGTGGGAATATGATGCCGATCCCCCGATGGTATTTAAATAGGGTTGAAGGTATAATGCCGAGTCCCCAATGGTAGGTGAATAGGAGGGGAAAAGGTGCCGAGCTCCCTTCACACATTTTAGCCACTTAGGAAGAGCGTGAGGTTTTAACCACTAGGCTACACCAGCTTTATCAAAGGCAAATCAGTGTTCAAAGACTGACAAACCCCGTTCCAATAATCAGACTGCCTTTATCAAATGAACTATTTTTAGCCGCTGTGCACCGTTGTCACTTTGCAGGCACATTTTAACCGAATAGACTTAGTACAAAAATCTGAGAAACAGCAGTCAGTGTTTTTTCTCCGTTTATAGAATTCTAAACGAAACAAAATCCTACTCCAACTGGCAATCAAAGGAAACGAAATCATTTGCGGTCTATTTATTCCGTAATATGAAATATTTAATCATATGACAGCAGTCTATATTCACAAAACGCATACGTAATAGCGAGAATTTTGGTAATTCAGTTTGGTTATTCATGAAACATTCAATAAATCAATATAAATGCAGTATATTTGATTGAACGATGTTCGTCACATGTTCGTTAACTGTTGGTAGTGCACAAACGCATCCGGTTTAAACTTTTGTAGATTTAGACAGCTGTTTTAATAAAACTACATGAAAACATCATCGAACATAAATTAAAAGTTAGAATACAGGTTGTGACAATCATGCGCAGTAACTATAAATGGTTAAACGTCAGTCAGCATTTAGTCAAACTTTGGCGATTTATTAGAATTCAGAAGAGGCCGAGACTGAATGCTGGCAATGTCAACATCGCCGTAGGTTGTCTTAAAGCTAGAGAGTCCCAGTCTCAATTGTACGTCATTTCAACGTATGCCAGAGCACCTGGGTGCCGATGTACAGAACAACCTTTGCGCTAAGACTACCTTATGTCTATGTTAAGGTATGGGAGTTACGGACACCTTAGCGCTAAGATCGCTTTGTACAACAGCACCCTGGTCGATATCCTGTTTATGGGAGCGGTATACCCGCTTCAATATCACCCAAGATCGAGTCTTGCTATGGCCTTGCAGATCTGCGAATCTGAAACCGACTGGCAGCTGTGGTATAAATATGATAGACGTTCACGCCAGCGTCAACATACGCCACAGACACTTGCATAACTGGCCAGACACTTGTACAAAAGGCCATGCCGCTGCTGTAGGTTTTAAAGAAAAGTCAAATTTTAAAATACACTTCTGGGTACAAACCCTTAGCCGTGGGAGCCCCCTCCTTACATGTCTGATTTAAGATGCAACTTTCCTCGAACGTTATATTTATCTGCCTACAACACGCATATCATATAGCACATTCACACTTTAGTCGACACGTAAAGATCCGGGGTAGAATTGATTTTCAGTAACCCATGCTTGTTGTAAGAGGCGACTAACGGGTTCGGGTGGTCCGGCTCGCTGACTTGGTGGACACATGTCATCATATCCCAAATTGCGTAGATAGATGCTCATGCTGTTGATCGCTGGATTGTCGATTTACAGACCGCATCCATACAGCTGGAATATTGCTGAGTGCGGCGTAAAACTAAACTCACTCACTCACTCACTCACACTTTAGTCGATTTTCATTTGATCCTTTCGTGTGTTTTTTTATATCTAACTTGTTCTCATTTAAAAAAATCTAGGAACAGCAATTCGTAACACTGATATCTGTATTCTAAACAGTCTACGGACTATATCATTGTGGTTGGAATGCATTATTGGCAATTACATTATGTTCGTATAAATGAACATGTTTTCACGAACACTTTCCTGTTATAGATGTATAGATGAGACATTCAGAGAGCACTCGTCGATTAACCAACAAATGAATGTGACATATAATGTGTAGTGCCTGTCATTTCGAGAAATTGGTAAACTGATATGATTTCTTTGACTGTAATTATCAAGGCACGACAAGTCAATCAATGCGCCAAGGTATCCTCTCTGGGTCGGTTTTCGACAGACTGACCTGTACCGTGTATGTAAACTTTGCGATATTTATAACAGACAGGTGCTGTTTCAACCCGGTGTTTTCTCATATGTTACTCTTAGATCTCCTTACGTATTTTATTACCAACGTATTGGGGGATAGCTGGTTTGTCTTTATTATATAACCATATGTGCAAGATGGCACTAAACAGTGTTTTGCCGACCTACGTAAGGGCATTTGCCACATGCAGTTTGTTGTACTTGGATACATCATGTGAGTTTTAAGATTTGTATCAGATATGTTTTTGCAAGATTTTTCTGATAAAGCTTGGTTGGAGATTCTAAACGCCGTACATCTATACTACCCACAAAAGGGAAACTGATGAAACGATAGAGATGGTATAATTACGATAAACGTCTGTGTAACTGTAGATCTGTATATCAGTATTTGGTATGTCGCGCACGGCACCTTGGTGCCATCATTTCAATTATTGTGCGTCTGGTTGAGCTACCCAAACTTGGCCATGTTAGTGGGAGCTCTAGGATATACGCTCGAAAACATCCTACAGATGCTCCTTTGGGAACCTTAATGGGCCTTAATGGGTCAGACCAACGTACGTATACCTTCTCGCCAGGGAAAACAGGTGACGACGTTGGCACGAAGTGGTCTGGCATCTTGTAGTTCACTATTACTGTCGATAATTCTAACGATTGGCACAACGACAGGAAGTAACAACGGATTGATGGTCACTCCTTTCATAATAACCAAATCAGTTTGCTTGCCATGTGTGTAACCGCCCCACGTCTACCATACTGGTAATATCATGTGTGAACACTGTGTATTGTTTCTCCAAATGCTTAAAAAACTACTGTTAAAAGGTTTCTTATTGACCAGTTTTATAAATCTCGGAATGCAACAGTAAATGCTTCCTCAAAAGGTAAATATTACAAACTTTATAAAAATATACCTCGTTTAGATTCTTATATTCTGGAACTATCTCCAACTCTTAGAATATGGTACACCCGATGTAGAACAGCAAATAGAAACTAGAAGATGGACTTGCGTTGTCAGATCTGACAGAACAGACCTTTATTAGACTGAAGGCTATATACATGTACATAACATATTGAGGGTTAACATGAGAACATTATGAGCAATGGCGGATAAAGATATAACTGGACAGGTTAACTAGTATTTGATTTTAGGCGGTGCATGATGATGTTACAAAATTTAGCCAATTTGCGCAATGTACTTATTTTTTGGCAAATGAATAATTGAGTGGTTTTATGTACAGATGGATTTTGATAGTAATAATCTGAGATGTAATTTTTCTATACTCATTAAACGCTTTACAAATGAGTAGGTATGAATAGTATTCATCGCCAATACCGTTAATATCACATAACTTACAAAATCTATTTACACATTGGACATTATGCCATCTCCCCACTTCAACTTGCAGTCTATGGCAAGCTATTCTAAAAAAGAGCAACGGTAAATAAACATTTCTTTTAAGTTTAGAAAGATAACATTCAAAATCATATTGTAGTTTGGTAACCTTATAGAATTTACATTTTGATGAGGTATTTACACAAGAAAAACTATTGCTGTACATATTAATCAGTGAGGCAGTTTCGGCCATTAACCTACCTTAAGCCAATTTACAGAAGGGAAACATTGGTTAATCCACACATTATTTTTACCAGTGCCTTTTAAGATATTTCTGATGAGGTTAATGTACATTATATAATGAAACAGCGAGTGACGAATACCACTTTCTTTTAACAGTCTTTTGAAGTCTAGTAACCCTATGAGAAAAATATCTACCTGAGTATTTTTGTAGTAATCCCCCAATAGATAAATTCACCTCAATTATGAAACTTAGTTATAGACCACTTACTTTGCAATTACCAAATATATCAAGGAAGGTTTATGTTTGTGCAAATGAAATCTAACATGTACATGATTGTAACTTTTTTACTGTTGCCATGTATAAACTCATGCTGTTCATGTTGCAAATATTATGTATGTTCTCGATGTCACAACATGTGATTTATGAGAATAACGTCTTCTTCTTAATGGTCGAACATATTTGCCCAAGCTTATCACTCGCCACGATACTATTGGCGTACAGCTCGTCCCTGGTGTTGCGTAGCACTACTCAATCGTTGCCCCCAATGGTAAGCTTGGTCACCCTTCACAGGACCCTTTGTTTTGGGTGAGCTGCACAGAGCTGGTTTTAAATTCGCCTTCCTGTTATTGCATGGAATTATCTATTGATAACCCGACCTGCTTTCGTATATTACGTTGTGAAAGGGGTGCAGTAGCTGGCTAGTGATCCAGCGCGGTTGAGGTGTCGGGATCGAGCCCACCTGTGACCGGGTGTAAAAACCTTAGAGTCAACATCGTGTGCAGACTCTTTCAGTGTTGTCACAGCACCTAGTGTACAGTACACAACCCCGTGCACTTAAAAGAACCCACGAATCCGTTGGTATATGACCAGATGGTGGCCACCTGAATACGTGCAAACACCTAGTTGCGGGTACAGCAACGTGCAGTAACCTTGAACAAAGTACTGTGACTATGTGTGTCCCAGTCCACCCAGCTGTGAATGGATACCTCGTTAGGATGAGAAAGTCACAATAACTCGGTGCGCCTAGGGAGTTGAGATTGATAATACGATATGCCGTTGAGATTGACATCCAATGATCGAGGGAAAAAATACCAGCGCCTTGAGCATGCACTAGTTGCCTGGATATGTGCGCTATATAAATATCCTATAATTTAATAATAAATACAATGAATGTAATGAAGCTATCTTGTCTATTGTTATAGGCTTGATCCGCTCATCCGCAACCCCACCACCATTAACGTTACTTGTTCAACAGTCAAGAAATTATACTTTTTGATTGGCCAAACATTCCAGCAACTTATCCTAGTATCTGACGCAGCCAATTTCTTGTTCCTTGAGATACTGTCTCAGAAGCATTCTAAGCCTATGCTCAGCTTAATTATTGTAATTGTGGGTTCCCCTAACGGCGCACACAATTTGGCTACTGTGTGTGCGTGATCCCTTGTTCTGCATGAATTTGCATTAAGATGCAATCCCAAGGTATTGTGTATGTTCCCCACATAGCTACATTTATATGATTAGTTTCCATATGTTTGTTGAAAGTATAAATGTATATGTATCACGACAGAAAGCACATGCGCGGGCGCGCGCACACACACACATACATATGAAGGAAAGTAGGAAATTCCAGATATTGGTTCGAATACTAGAATATATGTTATTTCATGCACATTAAAGTTAAATGATGTACGTTTTGCATGCAATCCTACACACGTACTTCAGATGTATAATCATATGATCTTACCATTAAGACGCTTGAGTCAAAACGTTTCTTCCTTGAGAGGCCGTGGATAATGTCTCTAAGTTCAGTTTCTCTGTGGTTCTTGCCTTCCGCCAGGAAGATATGAAAGATTGTAACAGCCACCATCAACCAGATGTGCCACCTTGCCATAATGTCCAGTAGAGAAGACAAGCTTTGGCTTCACGTCCAAGTCACGTTTGATTTCTCGTCCATGCATTGTACTAGCATCAGAAAGGGGCAATGGACTTTATGAACATACCGGAATGTCGTGGGCGGTGGTTCAGATGATGACTTCGCTGACGTTGTGCGCTATGGGAGTTATAAGATGACACATTAGTATCACAGGTGCCTAGCTCACCACCCACGAAACGGTTCTTTTGCACACCTAATGACTCTGAATGCTCGATGTAATTAGGTGTTGACTCTTTGGAGGACGGTGGTTCCTCTTGAGATATTATCAGACGACACCATCAAGATCCAGAAACTGTAGCCACCGATGATGTGACGGCTTCTTGCAGGTTCTTGCATAGAGGTAGATTGAACACGACAGCTAACTGGAGAGATTTATATGATTAACAGCAAGAAGTGCATTGTCTGTCCCGTTGAAGGTTCACGGATGGCATTAATCAATTGATTGCTATTCCCCAGAGGCCTGGATTTCTATTCTTGATAAGTAGTTTCTAACACAGGGATTCTTGATCACCTTTGTAGAAAGAAAAAGTGATTTTGAAGAATGACAGAAAGGTACCATACGCATTCTTCTGTGTACCAACATTACTTGACTCAATTATTGTTTTTTGGTGTAAAGAAGCTAATTACAGGATACAGAATTATATTACTATAATATGTTTTTGTGTGTTGATTGACGCCGCACTCAGCAATAATCGAGTTACATGGCTGCGGTCTGTAAATAATCGAGCCTGGACCAGACAATTCAGTGATCAATAGCATGAGCATCGATATACGCAATTGGGGTACTATGACATGTGTTAAGTAAGTCAGCGAGCCCGAGCCCGTAAGTTACTTTTACGATAAACATGGGTTCTAGTAAAATACGTATATTGAGGATCGGGTGTAATATTTTCGATATTTTGCATGTATGAGTTTATCTCAAGAATACATTCGATAGTATTTTCTTCATTAACAGTATCCCTACAACATTCCGGTTACAATTCGCCCAGGCGCGATTATTTACAGGCGCCGCCAAATAACTGGAAAGTGATTGAGTGCTGCTTTAAAGAACGAACAATATCCAAGGACTAAGCTTCACACATTGTACCCCCGTGGGGGATAGAGATGACGCTCAAACTACGCCGTTACTTGACGCGGCCAAAGGAACTCTTCATTTACATTAAGTATAAATGATGTGTACATAAATTCCATACGGAGATATTCCGTTACGATCACGCAATGAAAGCGAAGAAGGTGTCATGAGATACTGAAGTTTCGCTCCTTAATGTGTCAGTGAATACATTGCGTAATATAAGTTGAAGCGCCTGTGCAATCGTTGCGTGATTTCTGTATTGTCTAACTTGTCACGTGTAAGCATGATCACGCATCTCAATGAAACTCACACTTGTAATACCATGGTATTTAAAAGAAATCTAGATGGGACTCGGCCACGTGGAGCAGTATCCTGTATGGTGATCTCCCATGGCGATGTTATGCGTGTCTGTTTTAGTGTGACCTTCGTCAGATTGACCGATTCAGTCTATGGTGCATTTCGGATTGTCGTCGGCGAACTCACCCTACACTCGCCATTTACTCTCAATTGCCAGACAATCAAGTTGGATTATTGTTTTCTATTTTGCTCTTAATGAAGGATAAATCAATAGTACAAGAGTACAGTGCTGAATTCAACTATTTAAGTTTGATAAGATTCAGTTATTTGGACGTGATCCGACATGGATCTCGATAGAAACGTATGGCTGTACGGGGTGTAAAACCACTTTCAAAAGTATATCACTTGCATTAGGCGTGCTAGCTGAATATGTTTACCACTTTAGTGATATCCAGAAAACCCTTTCCTTAATCATAATATGAATAACACGTATGTCTTTTAACAACCCATGTAGCCATTCGTATTCATGTCATGATTGTAGTTGTTTGTGAGATAATTTTGACGCTTCGGATGCACCGTACAATTGATTTTATGTATGGATGTGCTACGATGAAAAGGCGAGCATCACGTGCAATACATGTACCCCTAATGAAGCAAATGTCAAGTTTCAGTACACTGTTCTTGCAGATCGATACCTTGGAAAATCAACTGATACCGCTGTTGAAAGCAAAAATGGGACCACCTGAACTGACAACTGCAAGGAACTGTCAAGTTCTTGGTACGCGGAAATGCTGTCGTGTCATTTATGGCTATTGCAAGCTGCAAGACATGTTGGTTGCCATCCATCGTCTATCAGCCGATTGGCCTGAAAACATCAACTACTATAAGCGTTCAGGTCGACCACTAGTGTCAACTTCTAGGGAAGATATAGATAATCTGAGAAGCATAAGACATCATCCGTTCATGTCAAGTGGCATGTTCATAAGAGGGTGGCATCCACGTCGTTGTTTGCCCCACAGAACGGTCCGAAAAAGTCTAAAATCGGCTGGTTGATGCTCAACATCACTGGAATGTAACGTTCTGGGAAAGGTTCCACTGGACGGACGAAATTCTATTTCTTTTGTTCCTTACTGATGGCCGAATTCTTCATTGGCACCGCAGGAACACTGCACATGCACAACGGAATGTCTAGGAGCAAGTACCGTTTAGCGGGGGTTAATTAATGATGTGGGTGCCTGTCACGGTACTGTAAACTTCACCTTGTGACGATCAGACAAAATCTGAATGAACAACGGTATATCAGTCATCTTAGACAAGGTTGTTGTACCACATTTCAATGGCCATCGCTTGAACACAAGGCCAGTCTTCATGGATGGCAATGCTAGGCCACATCGTCCACGTTATGTTGTTGAGTTCTTACGTCATGAGGCGGTAGCAACTCCCGCTAGGAGTCCGGTTCTCAATAGCGCATGTTCGGGCCATGATTGTTCGCAGAAATCCCAGAGAGGTTCAAGCCAGTACAAGCCATCCATCAAGAATGGATACCACAACGTTACATTCAACGACTGATACAGTCAATGAGGATGATGTTACTGCAGTTTCGGAGGTTACACCAGATGTTGACATTGACCTCGGTTATTGATGCTTTTGTCACTTCTTGAGGATTGTATTCTAGAATCTTGACAATGGCCTTGTTTACGCCAAACGACCATAGTTATCAGCACTACAAAATGAGTCAATTTTTGGCCATGTTTGTTCTCTAAATAAATTGTATTTTTTCGTTCTTTTCGCGTTTAGATTTGCCATTCAATTATTCTTTGAGGCTCGATTTATCGATATCGTAAACTGAGGTTGATAATGAATAAGTTCCTTTACCATGGTTAATAGTAACATTTTGATTCTATGAAAAATATAGAATGTTTCGATACTTTTTTCCATAAGTATATTTTGTACTGTCAGTGCTAAAGAATACCTAGGCTGAAACAAATTCCAGTCTGTGTAAAGGAAACAATTATATGAATTTATCACTGAAAATCAGTTATGGCAGGCGGTGTTTGCGAAAAGGGTAAGCATGTCCTGCCTAAACGGTATCGCCTGCCATTCGAAGAAGAAATCTATTCTCGAAGCACAGCCTATTGTATGATTCTCATATTGTATAATATGAGGACTCCACCCCTCTAGCCCCCGTCCCCCTAGCCCCCATGTTGTTACAAGCTACTAATTAGTACCTTTGGCCCCACGCCTGGCTGTTCTGTTAGCTGTACTCACTCCCCTATAACTGGATTAACTGTTACTATTAATTAACTCCATAGGCCAGGTGTTGGTTGTTAGTAGGTGACTACCGGTACTAGGGAGATAATAGAGAATCACGGCTCAGTGATCATTATTGATCAGTAGATGATCACTGTTGCTAATAATTGACAAAACAAATATGAATGTTCTATATTTATTTACATTCACAAATATATTAATTCAGATCTTGACACATTGTCTGAATGCAGAGTCAGATCGGTTGTTTAAACACAACATTCATATTGTCCATCATATGTCCAATGGCACACAGATATGAGTCAAGATTTCTTTCACATAACATGTACTCTAGTCCATGTTTTTATCGATCACTATCATACTGAAGCATATTAGAGCCACAGCCATCATCATCTACTGTCGTCTACATGTAAGAAACTTTATCTACACAGATCATGTTTTCATTTACATATGAAGGGTTGTCATCTACATATAACAACTCACCTCAAATTCAGCAGAATATGGAGAAATCGGACATTCTTCAAGGCAGCACAGCATCCAAAAACGTGTGGACAAACTCACTTTCATACCTCTTTCTGAAGAGTTATATATAATCATTACCAAGCAAAAATACCAAAGTCAAATAAGTTTGACTAAGGCCATTTTAACATAATTCGAGATATCTTTAAGCGTTATATTTCGAAAAGCAATATTCATATGAAGACCACAGTTGGCTCAAAGGATAGCTGTAAACCTAAGCTACCATTTTGTGCTGTTATTCAAAAATGACCTTATTATGGCACAGGTGTTTTTGCTTTGCATCCCTTCATATATGATATTATACTCGACTAAAGTATATATACTGAGTCCAAAAAGAAACTTCACATCCTTTCTTCAGGGCACTATAAAAGAACAAGAGATGGTAAGATGGTTAAATTGTTATTATTTCATTGCTTAGATCTGTGTGATGTACTCGATACACTGACAGTGCCATAATCAGTTCCATTGGGCTACACCGCCGTTCCAAAACATGGGTATACAGAATGTCAAGTCACAAGAATAAAAATGCGAAATTTCTCAGTTCAATATCGTGTATGGCCGCCCCGCGCAGTCACCACTGCCAAACACCGTCTCCTCATCGACTGCCTGATGCTTGTGAACACGTGGTTGGGGATTCTGCGCCATTGCTCTTGCAAGGCAGCGCCAAGTTCCTGCAAATTCTGAGGTTGGTTCCTAAGACCACGAAGCCTTCTCCCAAGTGCATCCCAAACGTGCTCTATTGGATTAAGGTCAGGGGACCTCGATGGCCAGTCCATGACGTTGATTCCAGCGTTTTGAAGGAAATTTCGTGTCAACATCGCGGTATGCGGCCGAGCATTATCATGCTGAAACTG